CGCGCGCGCGCGCGCGCGCACCAATCATACATATACACATACAGATGTAACTCTCTACGAAATAAAGAAGAAGCTATCGTTGTACAACGTCGAACTAAAATACTGCAAAAGCTCCCGAGACTCCTGTCGCTCGTGATAAATAATTCTACGTCCTGGTGTTACGCGTCTAAAGTATTAACGGAACCGTCTCTCCTGTCTCTTCGTGTAACTTCCGCATGGATACAGTTGTCGTTTCTAAAAGCGCGCTTATCTTATCTTTTTTCCCCTGATTTAATATGCTAATTTGATAGTTGTCCCCTCCGCCTTTTCCGAAGGGCAAAGATTACATAAGCTATAACGACGAAGAGCCGGTGGGCATCGCGGCGCGGGCGTTTGTCATCGCGATGACGTTGGCCAGCAGAGACAGCATCGTCTCCATCGAGAAGCCGCAATGCGGATACGATCTCGAACAGCTCCTGCCGCTTCTTCCGGCCTCCACTGCCTCCTCGATCGCCGTGCCCTGCATGGCGGTGCGGAACACCTGGTTGGTAGTGATCGCGTTCACCATCCTGTCGAAGGACGTCGCCCTCTCGTCCTTCTCGTTCGCGTTCTCGTCGCCCATCGCGCTCGCCGCTTGCTGCGAATACGTGCACACCGCACGTTGCATGCACGAAGTCGTGTCGATCCCGTGACGGGCCAGGATGTCGTCGATCCTCGTCAGAGTCTGAGTAAAGCCGTTGTCCTCACCTACATATGTTTTTATATAACACATTTTAATAAAGAAGAAATAGAAATACTGGTTTAGATTATTTTTGTTTAAATCTGTAGGAAATAATTACAAATTATTGAAGATTATATATCAAGAAGATGATTATACGTGTCATATAAAAAGAGGACGACGGAACGTTTTATATAACACATCTTAATAAAAAAGAAATAAAAACCTTAATTATTTTTGTTTAAATTTGTAGGAAATGATTATAAATTATTGAAGATCATACCAAGAAGATTATGTATATGTGTCACGTGCAAAAAGAGGGCGATAGGAAAAATGAAAAAGAGGATGATAGGAAAAGTTTCATCATTTCAATCGATCGTATACGTATTACTTTTCGAATAGAATATTCACGTAGAATTTGAAGTCAATTTTTTTCTTGGGGAACATTGAAAGAAAAAGAGAACTTTGCTCTTTTGAATTTTTTTCCAATTTTATGCAACGTCTTGGTGATTAAATTTTAAATTAAAAGTCAGAGTTGGAAAATGATGTCAGATAATATTTCCTTATTTTTAGCGTGGAAATTAATGGAAATTAATCATTTAATGATTTAGAAATCAAGATCTCGCGGAAAAGATGTGAGAAGAAGAATTATAAAATTTAAAGTTTGTTGGGGCAAAGATGCAAAAAGTAAAGCGCGGGATTTAATTAAAATAATAAATAACAAATAAAACGACTTACTTCTCGCATACGCGCCGTAAGTGCCCCCCAGGATGTAGAGCAACTTTGGGATGATGAGGATCGAGCCCACGCCTATGATGGCTCCTAAGAGAAGTCCTCCAAGATCTATTTTCGCCGGCGCGTAAGGTGACACGCCGTAGCCCTGATTTGAATTTAATTAATTGTAAAAACTTAATTAAACGCAACGAGTGTCTAATTAATAATTAATTCTAATTATTGTAACCAAATTATTGTAGCCAAATAATATCGGCTGAAACAACTGGTGAAAATTACTATTGAAACAGTAAATGGGAAAAAAAAGAGTGACGCTGTGTTCTGTGTGCTGTGAATATCTATATATAGCACGGAAAAGGGAGGAAGTCAAACCGAATTCAATACTCACGCTTCCCGTTCCTCCGATATTGGTGAAACCAAATCGCGCCTCTTGGCCGCGATCCGAAATATCATTCACTTCAGAATCGCGTTTCGATGTTTCATCGTTTTGTTTAATTTGAGATGACGGCATAGCTACCTGATCCTGAGCTTTCGCCTGCTTTTCCATGTAACTGATGGAACTCGGCACAAATCTGTTGTACAAATTTAATTCGCTGCGTGAAGAAATATATTTGATATAAACGTTTTGTTTAAGACTTACCCCCCGTCATCGAATTTCGGGCTGCAATTAATCAGAATGGCAAAGCAGCTTACTGCCACAGTTAAACTTCGCGAGATGTGAAACGTCATCTGAAAGGAAAGTTAAACATGGCAATAAGTTAAGTTATATTATATTAATATATTAATAAGTAATCAATAATTTCATATCAATGATATTTGTGTATTTTAATGATCATTCTAACTTTAAAAAATTTTTAATTTCTAAAAAAGATTCCAAAACCAGCTTAAGATATTTCTTTTAAATGTTGTTAAAAATTAAATTAGTTTTTCAGTCCGTTTAAACCGACAATTTTATTCTAAATAAATAAATTGTTGATAAACAATTTTGTTGTGACACATCAACAATTATTTAGTAAAGACATGAAGTATGTTGCGCGAATGCAAATGTAACAGTGGACGAAATAAAATAAATACCTTCGGAGAGAAGGGCAAAACGAAGGGTTCTGAGATGTGAAGTCTGGGTCTAAGTTTCAGAATGAGATATGGCGATTCAGTGTCACTGGACTGGCTACGCGGTGCTCGCTTTCTGACATATATAGTCGCTTTGGTCGTCTGAACAGGACGAGTCGCGGATGATAATTGAAGCTACGGTTTCGCTTTCATTGTTAGGTCTTCGTGGTGAGTTAACACGCGGTGCGTGACATCTCCCCGTCGTCGCCTTCGTTGTCGCGAGCGAGGAAGGCTGTCTCTTTCATCTTCTTCCTCTGCGATGGCTGCAACCGCGTCATCGCCAGTCACTCCGCTCGAAATTTCGAAGCTGAAATAATGACCGGCCGCCAACAATGTCCTCTTAAGACGTTCACTGACTTTTAACATTCGAGATTTCGCGACTACATTGTGCGGAATATCGCTGAGGTGATCGTGGCTTCTGCCACGTTATGATTGTCCATCACAGATTACGAAACACGCGCATCCTCGAGGGTGGTTACGGGCTTTACCTGTCTAATTGTTTATGTGACTTTGAAATTTTCATTGCGGCGTGGCGCAATTGGTAATTTAATTCGGAAAAGCAGAATTAAATTTTAATAAAATTTTATGCGCGCATTTAAACAAATTACAACAGCAGAACTTACGCGAAGCGAATGGAATAATTCAACAGAAATGTAAATATAAAAGACAAGTAGAAATGTAATTGTAAAATTTGTAAAAAATGCAAAAAAAAACAACAAAACTGCACAAAATGAAATAATTCAACAAATATAAATATGAATATGAAAGACAAGTAGAAATGTAATGTGAAATTCGTAAAAATTGCAAAAAGGAGAGATAAAATTTTGATTTACAAAAATGGAGAGAGGATTATAAAGACTTATAAAAATTGCTGATTTACGAAGTCAGAGAGATACAAATCGAAAAGTTATCGAAGCAGGGATCGTAAATATATAATATAACCATTACGCGGCGAGATCACACGTCGGAATTCTTCCAGAGAAATTTCTGAAAAAAGAAATTCCATTTGACTGTTGCACATTGCTCGCCGAGGAAGCCAGAGCGCGAATCGAAACCCCATATCGCGAGACTCGCGTGTCGCGCTCTCCCCTTCTCAAGCTCGGGCGGAGAAGCCCGTTCTGGATGATGCCTCGGGAAATTCGTCGAAAGTCACAGCTGGCCGGGTCTATAATTCTAATTTCGTTGCAGGTGCATGCGCCTCTTTCTTTCACGTCGGGTGAAAATTCACAAGATATCGCCGCTCATAATTACCGGGTTCCCCTATCCTCTCTCCCCCACGATGAAATAGAGCCCCGTGCTAAGCCGGACGATTACTGACATGTACGAACAATTAATGTCGCATTATCCCGCAGATTTCGCCGCCTGGGTTCGTTAATTCCGTCGCGAGAAATCGGTATTTCCTACTCTGATAGGGACGGGCGAGTTCGTTACAGGCGGGACACCTTGGCAGAAGGGGGGGGGAGGAGGGTTTGTTGCATCCGACGTTGAAAAGCACTCGGATAGCACAAATGCATTTCATTACTTCGCGGGCGGCAGAAAGCCGAGGACACCGAGAATCCGAAAAGGAAAGTGTTAACGGTCTCGTTCAATTTAACTGCCCGTGAAAGGAATTTTGGAGACATGAGGGTCGCAACGACGGACTCGACCGCCTTGATCTTTTTACCCTTCGCGCTGCTCTTCGCGCGGGTTATCGGCGATGGCAATGCGCGGACGTTCACGAAGCCGTTCAACGGCCAGAAGTCGCAGCTTATCTCGTTTGACACCAAGGGCGGAGAGATCGAAGTGAGTATATCGAAGCCGATCGCGCGGAAATTTCGTGGGAAAATCCCGCGTGAAAATCCCATGAGAAATTAACGTACGCATACCCGTCGTAACCCGTTAACAAGCGGATTATTTTCTGCCTCGAGTCGAGATTTTTCAAAAATTAGACTCCGAGTCGACTCTCGTTTGACTTTTCGAATTTTCCAGGTCAATTGGGATGTGTCCGTGCCCTTTTTCACCATACCGCTGAACCACGTGAGCGAGACTGGCGAAGTATCACCTCTGCTTAATGTTAATACGAAGGGATTTTCAATCGCCGGTGTTTTAACAGCCATTTTGACTTTGGCCGTGCCGCTTTTATCAAAGCCAGGGCCAGGAGTGAATTATCGAAGTATGAAGCTTGTTTCTATTTGCATCAGATTTGCATCTATCTGCCCCTCTGTCTTAAAGTAACAAATTTATTATGTAAATATGCATACCTTCGAATTATCCGGAGTGCGAATCCTTTTATCAGATCTCGACTCGCAATGGTCGCAAATGGGAGATACGATAAATGAGATCGTGTTTAGCAATCGATATGTCACACCCTGCGTACAGCGCATCGTTTGCTCCGTCGTTTCCGAGGCGAGTCATTCCGATAATCCTTCGAGCACCGATAAGATCATCGACGGTTTGTCAAGGTATGGTTAATTTTTAATCTGTATAGAATAATTAACAACAAATTATTGACAATTATTAATACGCAGAATATCATAATCAGAAATTTTTAATTTTTTAATCTGAAAGTAATTAGAAAATAATTATAATTCTAAATCAATTATTTGCATAAAAAAAATAAATTCTAATCATACAAATTTATTTTGTATATCTCAAACAGTCACAAGTGGTTTAAGGAATTCACGAACGGTACAATCCTTCAGGAAGCTATCAGGATGGGACGAGAAGGACGCCACGACTGTGGCCACATTTATAAGGATTGTTTCGTGACGCCGAAAATTTTTAAAAGTATGATGGCTCAATTTGGCGCAATCTGATACCAACGTTCATTATAAAATTGTAAAAACGCTATCGATCTCAAAATATTTGTATTTTGTATTTTTTTTTATCATCACACATGTCCTTGTTGCTGCAGCGAACGCCACATCGCGAACGTCTTCATGAAAATTTTGCAAAAAAAATTTTGCACTCCGTGCAAATACATTGTTGAAGCTCGGTTTTTGTTTCACGTTCAATTTTAAAATCATTCGCGATGTAACGAGCGAGTTACATCAGGACGACCGATCTTCATTATCTTGATGCACGAGGTGTGAAATTTCGTCGCGCCCAAGAGAAACCGCGTCGTGTATTTAAATAACGCGCTTTCACTTTTCCTTTTATACAAATCGTTAGAAAATCACTGCTATTATAATAGATATAATGAGGTTAGTGCCGTATATAATCATTTATCACTTTTAAAATAAATAAATTTCAATTTTATTATGACTTGTAAATAATATTTAAAGATTTTATACGAGATTTTCCTGCTCATTTTTTCTTCGAAAGAGTTTCAATTTTTTGTGAAAAATTGAAGAAATACGAGAAGAGGAATTTAAAGAAAATCTGGAATTTAAGAGACAAATGTGACATGTTTATTTTTATACAAAATAAAGATTGTTTTGAAAATATATGAATATATTATCCAAAGAATATAAATGCAATCACATTCCAATTAAATTGTAATACAAGCAATGAGTATCTACGATTATACTTATTTAATAGTTAATAATCATGAATATTATTGTTGCGTTTTAAATTATACGAAATTTTATATATATTGTTAAAATATAGATTTTGAATTCACAAAATCTAATTTTTTAAGAAACATTGATCTTCTCGTTTTACTCGTTTGGAAATTATTTGTTTTTATTTTTCCGCTATTGTTTATTGTAACTACATATAATAAACATGTAGTAAGTATATATATTTTTTATATATATTTTTACATATTTTTGCTACTTACAAAAGTACCCAATTTGTTACGGAACGAACTGTGACTTCGCGATTGTGTTACGCATTGTTTGTCGTTATAATAAAACTTGAAACTCAAGAATCTAAAATAAAGCAAAGCATAAATATCTGCTGCGCTTATTCCTCTCCAAAATTCTATCACATATTTTTCAGTCTTTAAAACCTGACTGTATCGATCTCACTCAAGAATCTAATTTTCGATAAATAAATCTTTCCTTAACGCGTTAAGCGGTAGTCTAGAATAAAATAAACAGAGAGACATAAAACGAATCGCGGTTAGCTCAGAGTTTTGATTCGGCATCCCTCGCCAGATCGCTTTGAAATTTACTGAGATAGATCAAGATTTTGTACTCTCGATACAATTTTTTCGTCAACGTACTGGACACCGTTCTGCTTGAAGGGTGCCAACAGACGCGTCGCACCCGCGGCTCGCGCAGCCTCCGCAAGATCCGCCGCGGTTTTCCCTAACATGTCGACGCAGCGCGGATCCGCGCCGTGATCCATCAGGAACTTTGTCGTTTCCACGTGATCGTGGAGAGCGGCAAAATGCAATGGTGTACGTCCAGAGATGTTTTTCTGCGACAGATCGGCGCCGGCCAGCAGGTACGACTGCAGACGTTTCGTGTTTCCGATGGTCGCCGCCGCGCACATTTTCTCGCCTATCATCATAGCTTCTCCGTGAAGATGCGCTCCGCACTGCAGCAGCACCCTGATGATCTAAAAGATGATAATCACACATAGAGACACATTTATGATTTAGATGTTATCAATTCGCTAATTAAAGCAAAATGAATTATATCTTTTGGTATAAATAAGGAGATGATTCCTGGAATCATCAAGATCTTTTCTGACGTACATATAATATAATAATAATAATAATAATAATAATAAATGCCGACAAATTATTTTATATACCATAATACCAACGATTTATTTTATAATTCACGATTTCACTTAAGAATTTAAAATGTTTTACGTATAGAGAAGAGAAGAAATATGGATATTGAGTTAGAATGCGGATTGTAATTTCTTGGGGAAGTGATCTTACCTCGTGACGATCGTATTCGATCGCATCGGTGAGCGGCGTGCGATCAAATCGATCCTTAATATGAACGTTCGCACCCATTTTCAGAAGACGTCGCACAACCTTGAGGTCCCCCTCGCAGCAGGCTATGTGCAAAGCCGTTCGACCATCTGCGTTCGCCTGCGAGATATCCGCACCCTAAATAGGAAAAGCCGATTATAGCGATAAATCAATTAATAAATAATTCAAAACTAACCCGCCCGCAACACGCCGTGAACTTATATTAATTTTTACACTACGGCGTTGCAGTGCCATAGACTGCAATGATTAGTATTAGTATAATCAGCTTACGATATCGACATACGTCATCAGAGATTAACTAATATATAATTAATAATACAAAATCGATATTCCGAAAAAAAATGTAATTTAATAATGAATAGTGAAGAAGAGGGAAAACGTCAAAAGACGTTCTAGTTTTTTTTTTTTTTTTTTTTTTTTAATATTCATCAGTATTTCGATATTGAAAGATTTAAATTAATCGACGAGAAATTGAATGTGAACTTTACTAACGTATCCTCTTAATGACTCGAGTTTGACAACGTCGCGTCTGATCACCGCGGCGTTCAGCATAGCCGGGAACAGGATCGATCCCAGCTCTTGAAGTTCCGCCGCCGAGGATAATCTCAAGGATCTAGCGACAGCCTCCACCAGATCCCAGTCCTGTATAGTGGGTGGTCGGCCGGCGGTCAGTTCACCCCGTAAATTCGTTTGCATCATTTGCCGCTTGGTCTCCGTGTCCCACTCGTTTTTCGATAAGACGTACGCGAGTTTCGTCAACGCAGCCTCCGGCGTCATGTCAAAGCCCGATATCACACCTGTTTAATTGATAGCGGAATCGATATCTATGATTAATAGCGAATTACTACAGCGAATTACTATATAATAGCGAATACTGCAAGTCGTAAATTAATCTGTATTTATCTGTCACGAATATCACGCAACCTCGAGCACTATCAGCGGGAAAAATTGTTTATATTTATATAAACTCTCTGTCACTTTATCGTAGGAGTTTTGCGTAATATTCTTTACAATCTTTTTTCGAAATGTAGCAAAAGAAGTTCAATGGAAAGATACAGAATTAAAATTAGAATTAAGATTACTAATAATTTCAGAAGAGTTTCTCTCTTCTCTTATTTACCAGTTGGAAAAAATATTCTTGATATAAATAATCCTATAAATATTAAGGATTCTAAAGGATCCTAAATAATATTATTAGTTTAAATATCTAGGATATAAAATATTCAAATTATTAATATTCTTTTGCATCAATGCACTCATTCAGATTGCACTAACGGTACCAGCTTTTTGAAGCAGTTTTCCAGCTTCGTACGCGTCCGAGACGCATCCGGTCGCGCATTGCGTGATATTCACGATGATAACGCCGCGTTTCGTCGCCGCGCGAAGCTCCTCGATGATGTCCTCGCGATTCGTCGGAACGTTCCCCATGCCATAGGACTGTAGTATAACACCCTCAATGGGCGGTTGAAGAAACACTTTGACCAGATCAGACGTAATGCTGGGAAACAACCGAAGCAAGCCTACGTTCCGATTGAGCGATGCGTGTACATAGAATTTTTCCATGGTGCACGGACGGAAAATCGAACGATAATCGACTACGAAAAAAATATATTAAAATATATATATCAGTCCTGAATTTCTTAAAGTGTCTTAAAAGTCAATTAAATTAAAATCAAAGATCTTCTTTTAAGAAAAAAAAAAATTTTAACAATGGTATATAATATTAATATTTGAGTTATAATGTTATAATTAAATATTTCTTTTTGTCTTTTAAAACCTCAAACAAAATTTCGAGAGAGACTCTTGCTTTAAATCTGTGTGCCACAACCTTCGATCTTGATGTTCGCCGTTGCTAGGGGTGGGAAATTCGGCGATTGAAAAGCTTCGAAGGATGACGCGGACGTCTTGCTCGTCCGATTGCCGCGTAACAAATTCGTGCCGAAGAACACGCATACTTCCGGTATATTGTAATTCGCCGCGATTACAAGGGCCGCCAGGAAATTGTCCAAGCCATCGCTCCTCGTATCAAAAATAGGAACTTGCGAGCCGGTCAAGATGACGATTTTGCCTAGAGCCTCGAGCATGAAGGACAAGGCGGACGCGGTATAACTGAGAGTGTCGGTACCGTGAAGGATTACGAATCCATCGAAGCGCTCGTAGGATTCCTACAACGGAAAAACATTATTTATCTTAGAGAATTGACTCATGTCGATTTATCAAACTGACGCATAGTTCTTGATTATATATCACATAAGTTTTCGCACGTGGATTTTCTTTTTGTCTAAATTGAAGATTAATTCTTTCTCAGAAAATTTACGTGCGATTTACTTAAAAATAAAATATTATTATTATTATTATTATTATTATTACAATATCATATCCGTAAAGCACCTTTAATTTTTATGAATTCAATTTAGACAAGAGCAGTGTATATTTTCTTTGATCTTATCTTCGCTCTGTCTTTGTCGGCGCTCTGACTTTGATCAATATACCTTGATATCATTAGCAATACGAATCCACTCATCCATGGTCATGTTACTGGAGTCGCAGAGATTCGAGTACTCGAATACGCTGTAAACGACTCGCCGACTATCGGTTGCGGTCACGCTGTAAGGAGGAAAGCACTTTTAACATTGCGCAAGGGAAAGCGAAAGGGTACGCGAGGAACCGGTTCGCGTTCTTCCGCAAATTAGGTGGAAGCGCCTTTCATTTTTATGGCTCACGTTTTTTCTGCGGGAAATGATCGAAGATCGAGGAAAATTTTGGCGCAGAAAAAACTGCGAATTTCTATTTCTCAAGAATACCTATTTTAACGTCATCATTAAAAAATTTATCGTTTCGTTTTGTTTGTAAAACACTAATGCTGCTTAATTACTTAGTTTACGAGAAACTCGATTATAGCTGTCATAAAAACTGCTATATTGGTGGACAAGAAGGGAGGATAAACAATGAGGAGCATTAGGAGTCAAGCGCAGTGAAAGAGCGCAAATAAAAAGTCCATTAAATTACGTCTATATTTAAGGTTCTCTTAAATCCATACGTTTCGATCCACTTTCGGATCGTCTTCAGTAGATACCGTCTCCATATTCTGAGTTGCATGCGGCGTGTTAGTCAAAAACTTAACGGATTCGCATAACGATAAATGCGATAATGCAATATCTCGAGAGGCCTCTGTCCAAAACAGTTCCACAGCTGATGTAGGAGACACTGTACGATAAGATCATTTGAATAATTTCAGTTGTTCATTCAAAACAATAGAGTTTTTTAAGAAGTGTCAAACAATAAGATGAACGAGGAACCATTAGAGACTCACCTCGATGATATCGTCAATTATCCCAATAAAATGCATACAGACGAAAATAAATAGTGAATATTGCAAAAGCATGGTCAAAATTAAAAATGTCGTACAATAAATAAAACAAATTCGGTTAACAAAAATAAAATAAAAAAGCACGTGTCTTAACTGTTTCGTGTTAAAAATTAAAATGTAAAAGACGAAAATAGTAAGTCAAAATCGACAGTCAAAAAATGTTATGAAAAGAAATACGGTCAGCTGTTTGTGGAAACTGTTATTGATTTATTTGTTGCATAAAAATTTGCAATTATTATATTTAAAGATAATGTTAAATTTATAAATAATATTTACGGCAGCACTAGCGGTCCCATCGCACCGAATCTTTTCTCGGCATACTCGCGATCGTATAATTGTGGATATTTCCGCAGATTCTTGACAAACGCATTGGTTATTGGTACCAGGGCTAGAAAACAGACAGTTTATGTTGTCAGCAAAATGTGAAGATAATTATGATGTCATAATAGTTTGTTATACTACAATCTATTTGTTATCGCATTTGGAACTTTCATCATATTATGTATTTAATTTCTTTTCAATTCACGTTCAAAGGTGACGATAAAATCGGAGATTTATAACAAAATGTGTGAAATTTTCCTTGTAATATGTGCGAAATATTCGTTGATGTAAAACTTGTATAGTGATGTGTGGAATTCATAGCGTTAATGATCAGAATACACAAATATGCGCTATCAAGGCTGAACTAAAAAAAAAAAAAAAAAAAGAAAAAGAAAAATTCATAAAACGCGAGATTCATAAAATTGTAAGAGTAAAACTGCGAAAACTGCTAAAAATGTGTAAAAAAAATGTACAATCAGTTAAGAATTTTTTTCCAGCCAATAACCATAAAAAAATAAAAACATTCCGGACACGCGTAAACGCGAAGTCCATATTTGTAAGCTAGTAGGTGAAAATTTCATGACATAAAGACATTTCTGGAAATTCACTATAATCTTTTAAATTTGACGAGATGCATAATTACCTCCTTGCTCATTCCTCATCATTCCTATCGTGCCACCCGTGTAGAGTACCAGAACGCGACCTTCCTGCTCATTACCGTTGGCCATGCCACTATTTCGTCTGCTTTCCATATTTCTGCCATTGCCTTCGTTATCACGCACGTTGTCTTGTGATCCACTAAGAAATTGTGACATAATCGTTCCGGCTTTCACGCGTGAACGGTCGCTCCGATGACTCCTACGAGACTGATTGCTTATGCAAGACCGATCGTTGGTGTCGCATGATCTTACCACTGATAACATACGTTTCTTAGGAGCCTACAAGATGTACAACAGTTAGTGGGGATGAATGTTTTCTATTCTTAAAATTCTTTCAAGACTGTTTAGTATTTCTAAATAGTATTTCTAAATTTCATTATTTATATTGTCTCAGACTTATCGAATGCTTATAATCATCAATTATTAATAAATTCTTAAAAGTTTTAAATTGACTAATTAGTTCTTACTTCTTCACTTTATTAGTCTAGTCTTTTTCTCAAATGGGATCAATGAAATATCCACAGTAAGAGAATTTCTTAGTAACATATTCATAATCATGTAATTTATGAATTTTAATTATTTATTATGATTATAAATTCCTATCAAGAAAAATAAATTAATGCAACATTTTGTAAGTTGGAATTTTATTTTACTCAGAATTTTTATACAGTAAAAGAATTAAATATTCAATACTCTATTTTAGTTATTTCTAAAAATAGAATTCCTTAATAAAAAATCAAGTTTACTGGAATGTTACAAAACGAGAATTTCTTAACTTAACTGTGAAAGTGTCTAATGGCAAATTGAAATCTTTAATTCAAGAAAAAAAACAAACAAATTTATTCTGAATATAGATAAAAGAACAAATCCGATAAACATAGCAGAATCAAAAGATAAAATTAAATTCCATTTTATAAATGTCAATGGAAAATTATTTATTCCATGCAAGATAGATTTAAATTTACCACAAGATTGATCTCAATAAATGCATAAAAGCCAATTCTGCAGTCAATTGATAAAAATCTTTCCTATTTTTTTTTTCTTCGGTTAAATGGAATAAGTGAATAACAAGGAAAACCTTGTCACCTTGTTGCCTTGTTATCATCTGTTAATAGCTGGCTTATTCGACAATAATTCACTCTTTTGCACGTATGATTATGGTCATAGAACGTGTTATCTCTAAGCTCTCAGAAAAATAGTAAAGAATGTCAAATTTCCAGCTAAAGCAGTTATTACCATTTTATGACATAGAAGTGTTTATAAACGAAACCGATTACAAAGCGACAAAGAACGAGATGATAAACGTTACATTAGCGTTAATTGTAGAACTAAGTTCAGAACTAGAGATAGGAAATAAGTCGCATTTTATTATCCTTTTATTATCTATAATTATAATTCACTACATTAATTAATTAAAAAATAGCATTTATTCTTATTATTTTTTTCTCTGCGTTTTGAGTTTATTAAATTTTATTAAATTAACAAATTACTTACTTTATACACATTGTCTTATTTACTTTATCATTTATTACTTTATTAAATTAATAAATGTGGATATTTATCAATTGTAAGCACATAAACAAGATATCTTTTCTCCAAAATCTTTTAAAATATTATGTATATTAATATTTATATAATTACGTAAATAAATTAATAATTTGTAATTAATAATTAACTTGTAATACTTTTTAATCAATTTTCTCGATTAAATTATTTTGTTGACGATAGGATTATTTTAAAACATGCTTCTTCTAAGAATGCAATTTGTATATTTATTTTGACTATTTATTAATTAGCTTTGCTAACAAAAATTTGATTTCTCGATTACTCGAAGTGAGTTCTCTCTCGATATCTCGAGAATTGGTGATTTTTACGGCTCATTTCTAGTATCCACGTCAGGAATAACCGCGATCAGCTGCGACATGACAGTTAAGGAGAGATTGGAGGCGTACAGAAGCAAAAAGCGTAAGGAAAAAATAATGGAATCAATCAAGAACACAATGAAATACGCATTTTCGTGGAGTAGCAAAAACGAAATCGAGAAGTCTATCGAGAAACCGAAGAAAGACGAGGAGGTAAGGTTATACATCTGTTACTTAGTGTCACCTAATTCAAAGAATTCTTTGTAATTCAAAGAAAAAAGCAAGAGTTTTGTGTAAGAATGAGATATTGAAAGTATTTATAAAGTATAACTTTCTTTGTTTCAAGAATAACATGGAAGAAAATGACACGGATGATGACGCAGATGAAGAATGCAAAGATCTTTTGGAGGAAGAGAAAGACAAACAATTATCCTACAAAGATCCTCGAATACTTTATTTGACTTACATGATAGTCGTTGCAATGTGGATTAGTTTATACATGGTTGTACTCCGATATGAGTTTGGTACTGTTTACCTAGTGCTGTCAGCTCTGTTCTTCATTTGCTGGAACACCAGATCTGATCCGAAGCAACCTGGCGAGCTCAGCGCTTATTCTGTCTTCAATCCGAATTGCGAGGCAATTGAGGGAACGCTCGATGCGTCGCAGTTTGAAAAAGAAATAAGATATGGTATAGGAGGGGTACGATAAGATCAAGATAGAATTTCAATGAACTCTGAGTACTGATTTGCTGTTGAGATGTAATCCATATTTTGATTTACTTAATCTCGCGATTGGATTGCAGTGATGGAGAGATGATTGTGTATATAAATTTTCAATAAGCAACTTCACAATTTTAAATTGAGTGACATGACTCAGATGTAAATACATGTACATTTGTATTTAGTTTTTTGGAATTTGTATATATTTAAAAGCCAATGTGATCTTATTTAATTTTACAAAAAACTTTATAAAGCTGCAAAAAATGCATCCAGTATATATAAAATATGTCCAAATGTGCATACAACAAAAGTTTAAATTCTGACTCATTAACCAATTTTAAAAATAGAATTATAGTTTTGTTCATGCTACCCATTTGATTATATACAACACTTATTTATGTTTAATACTATATTAGTTGTGTTTAATACTACATTAGTATTATATTAGCAAAAAATTTGAAGTTCTCCTTTTCCAATGCTCTTGCGCAATTATTTAAAATTCAAACAAATTCCTTTTTTTGCATTTTTGTACAACAATACATTTATGGGTAGAAGCGAAAGAAAATGTTTTAATAATTAGATTTTATTTTATATATTATGAAAGTGAAACAAAAATTTGTGACAAAATTTTTGTATCTAATACATAAAACATAATACATAAACATCTAATACATAGTTTTAATTTACTTAAGTGGCTTCAGAACTTTTATCAAAATTTTTTGAATGAAGCGAACAAACTTAGCATGCAATATTCATATGTGATATATTTTTTCTGTATTATAGTTTAGGATTTATATTATGATACTTAAATATAAGCGTTGTATAAAAAGATTTTAATATAATTATTAGATTTTATATTTTCTATATTTACATATTATTTTTTATTCCTATTTAATATAACATAATGTATATTTTCAATTTAATATAAATTTAATATTCATATTTAGAATTTCATTTTACATATTACATTTAATATCTTTGTCAAATCAATTCTGGTGAATTATTTTATAAATGTAAGCATTTAAAAATTACTTGTAAATGTACAATAATAAAATCTATATTCTTGATTCTTTAAACAATATATATTGCTATACATAAAACATATTATCTTTCTTTCAAAACTTGTATAGCATCCTCATAACATTTCGTCATCTGATCGAGATAAGTTAATATGATAGACTCGCTAATAGATTCATGTAATAGTTTGTGTAATATCGCTAGGTCAGTTTTGGAATGCAAATCGATTTCATCGGGGCACAAAAGAGCTTTATCCAGATCCAGAAGTAGATCGTTCCATATCCTTATAGACAATATCCTAGAAAATATGTGACGAAATATAAACTCTATAATGCTAAATGTTGAGCCAATTTTCTTAACAAATTTAACATTAGACCTGTAACAATATCATTTATGCAATGGCAATTTTAAATTTGTTAATTATTAACTGATGACTAATTAATTCAAAATTTACTATACTTACTGGGTATTATCTGCCACGTCGATTTTTATATTGGAATCCTTCACGGTTTCGAGTAAGATTTTTAACGTTTTCTTTAGCTTCTCTGTAAATGCAAATAATGCACAATAAAACAACGTTTAATTGTTTACAATAGCTCTTTACAATTTTTATCAAAAATTAATAAAATTATAGAAAACAAAAATACCTTTTGCGTCCTGAAATCTGCTAGTGTCGATCGACTTTAACATCTCGTTAACAGTTTTTATTAAAATATCTTGGCTCCCATTGAATAATTATACTTTCGGATAGTCGCCATATAGTTTGGCTAACGACTTGTGCCAAAATTACGTTATGCACACGTGAATTTTGATTGTGTTGCATTTGACTGTGTGCAGGACCATCATCATTCTATAAAAAAAGGAGGAAAAAAATGAAATTTTTTAAATTATATGAACATTATTTATTATAAGAATTTTAGCTAGAAATTTTAATCAAATATTTTAGATCTCGGTAAAAAATGTTCCATATATAATTAGATATAATAAGATATGATTATATATAAACATATTCTATATATAATTATATATAAAAAAATTTTGTACCGAGATCTGATACAATTCAGTGATGTATTTTATCAGATCGGAAATACACAATTTACGTTTTTTTTTGCAGAATCGAATTTAATTAAATTTTGGACAACACAAGTATTGTTACACGAAACGAAGCTACTACATACTTACAAATGAAAATATCACTTGCGGAACATCTACAGGAAGACGGGGACCGAATACTTCCTGCTCGAGATATTCCCAGTTAGTATTGCCGGGAATTGTCTTGATGCCTTCGACGGCTACGAACCGCATGATGTCCGATCCGGATAAAGCCACACGACCGTTAGCTAAAGTTAGACAGCTCTATATCAGTGCCTGCAATACTGGAAACAATGGAAATGCACACAAACCTCGCGCGAAACGACCATGCACCGCCAAGTAAGCCACGATCTTTTGCCGCATGAACTTAGGCAGAGCCTGCGGGCAAACGTCCGAGGACGTAAGGGACACGCAAAAGATCAGGCTCCGTCGTGGTTGCCAAGCGTTCAGAATCTGTGCCAGTTCCAGAGCCACAGTAATACCGTCTTCCTTAGCGGATAGGATAATATATCTGTCTGAAACAATTCGGTAGGATGAATGGGCGAGGTCTTGCGGAGGATGAAAATAGAAATGAAGTATATAAATGAAGTATATAAATGAAGTATACATATATAATGATATAAAACACCAAGCACGATTAAAGATTATTCCACACGATTGTAAAGGAAATTATTATACGGAGAGAAAGGGAGAGCGATGAGAAATATCTTTGTCGATATCAGCAAATTTCATTTTATATGGATAAATTTTCTATTTGAAGTGTCAATTAATTGAGGAATTCACCTGGTTCCTGTGAACCGCGGATGGTCCCGCGAACGTATGACGCATGATTAGACGCTATGTCAACAAATGACAAGTTGGAAAAGAGCCCACTGATGCGCTGCACGTCATCCGGCGTCTGCCGGTCTCTAATTAAAAATAACAAACTCTATTTATCAGTTTCAAGAAATCTAATTTCCAGGAAGTTTTTCTTCTACTTCTAGATTTAATCTAGTTACAAAATCATATTCTGATCGTCATAAATTTAAGAGAATAAAGTAACGTACGCCATACGATCGTAGTTGAATGGCGCACTTTCCAATTCCAGGAGCACCAGTTGTTGAAGATGCTCCGTGTTCCAAAGGCCATTTCCGGCCAATTCGCCGCGTATCTTCTGCACTTGAGCTTCCAGCAGTCTTTCGACGGTGAAGCGACCCAACAGGAAGCCGCAGAGGAGACACAGGAAGCCGACCGAGAAGAGAAATGAGAAACACAATCGCTTTGTCACATATTCGCTGGACTCGCCGATATTGCGGGACATTTGCGGGAAGCTGAGGATTCGCTGCATTCTCGTAGAATATTCGTATAAACTCCTTCGAACGTATTATTGATAACTTTTTCCCAGCGTCCTTTTTTTATATAAGTATATAAACTTTATCGAAAATTTTGCTTCTTGTACAATCGCATTTTGAAACGAAAAAATATATTAAATATATAATATATAGAATTTATTAGAAACACGATCTAAATTTTTATAATTCACACAATTTCTAGGTCTTTTATATCCACAAAAAAAGCACAAAACTTAAATTATTGATTGCACGAACATTATTATAAATCTTAAGGCAACGAAATCTCATAATATGGCGCCGCGAATTATTCGCAAAAAGATTCCAACTTTCGAACTTTCCGATAAATCACAAAAATGGTCCACTTTCAATTGAATCAATCACCAACGCGGTGTTTATGTCGTTTTGATAAAGTTACAAATGTTAAACTATCGATAAATCTTAAACCGTTTTATACGAGAGCGCGACACGTCCATTTGGATCACACTTCTCTCTTGTTACAGGAAAATCGCACGTCGGGTTTTGATCGTGAAGACTATAGAGCTGACCGTTTTCCGCTGTCTCTATCGTCGCCAAATTGCGTAGGATCCCGGAGATATATTTTACAGTACGCCTCTTCGACGTCTCGTTTATTTTACTCTCGTGGAGAGCGCGCGCGCTGCTTTTGTCGCCACTTCTTCGCGTGAAAGAAAATAGAGAAGCGAGAAGAAGAAGAAAAAAACGTATAAACAATGTAACTGCCAGAATGTATTCTCTGATTTAAGTATGTTTTGGACTTTTGTTGCTTTGAAAAAACATTTATCAAATTGTTAGTCATTATTAAGAGATATGTCTAAATAGGGGGGTAGCTAATATATTTTCAATTTTTTGAAAAATTTTAAATAAAATAAGAGATAAATTCAAGATGATCAAGAAAAATCGTCAATCATTATCAAGATTCTTTAAAATTTTTTAATTTGAAAACAAGAATTAATTATTTGGAACAAGAACATTTTACGGCACTGTAAATCCACTATAGAGAATACAACGCTACACATGTTTTTTCTGGTTGCCGCATATGTAAAGGTCAGAAGCGTGAACGTCGCATGTTGGGCAATTTATTTCGAGCAATAATACGATAGTGGTGTTTCATTTATAAATAGTTTTCAATGTATTACGTGCGCGTGCAAGGTTGTTCCAACTATAGCGGACTTCTATGCGGACTTTTGAAATATACACAAATTTTTCACATGTTTAGTGATAAATACGTATGTTGTCCAACGTGTTGAAAGTTCGTTATTCTTTAAATGCTGAAATTATTAATTAATTAAATAATTAATTAAATCCTTCTATAGATAGAATTATCAGTATATAAGTCGACGTCTCGATTATTATTTAAATATGTTAATAAAACCAAGATATATAACTCTATGTCATTAATTATGGACATTTTTAGACATTTTTCAAAATAGAATTATTTTTAATTTTAAATTAAGTTTAATTTTAAATCGATATTTAAATGATCTTTTGTGATATTTGTTAAATACATTAATTACATTAAATATAATGCGACATTAAATACATTAATAATCGCATGCATTATATTGATTGTTATATCGTGTATAAATTAAGGAAAAAATAAATAATTATAAATTAATGACAATACTACAGTTATCTAAACTTACAATTTTTATAATTGGTACGGCACTCAACGTTCTGTGTGATTTTTAATTTTAAAAATATTCAACAAATCTCGTGTCATGTTTTGTATACAAATCTATGAAAGTTTCCGCATTCTGAAAATCCTTTTAGACGAGCTGAGTATCGCTAATCATACAAATATGATTGCCGATCGATATCGTTGCAATGATAATTGCAACGATGCAGCTGCGTCATTGCAAGAGTTACAATACAAATTATACGATGCTTGCTCTGTTGAACAATCAAAATATTGATCTTTGAAACATGGATTCTCAACTCTTACTTAGATAGTTTTAACAAATAATTAAACATTCATTATTAATTTATACTTGAATTATTTGCTTGAACTATTGTTTTTATTTTAAATTTGATATACAAAATTGATATGGTCTAAAAGTATAATCAAGAATAAAAATATATGTTTTAAATATTGCAAGATATGTGTTAATATATGATGATATAATATTACATGATATTAATTTTTCTAAGACATTACAAAGCAACTTAACATTAACAAAATGTAATTAACAAATGTAAATGTATTCCTAAAATATTACTCTAAATTAAAATATTCTAAATTAAAAGTTCTTTATTCCTAATTCAAATAATTCTTTAAAATGAAGATTTCAAAAATTATAAACTTTTAAATTATAAACTTAATTCAAGATTATCTAAACTAATAGTTTCTAAGGTAATTTAAGATAAAGAATTCAGGTTGGCATAAACATTCCTTTCGTCATTTATCATTTATTCCTTTCAATTTTATTCTTCCAATAACATTATAGCCACGTAATGATCGCATTCTTGCCCACAATGTGTTGATATTTTGTGGTCATTAAAATGCCTCCAGGAGATGAACGTCTTGTAGCATAATTTACATTCGTATGGCTCTGTGTGCAAATGTAGATTTCTTATATAACATATTTAATTCGAAAACTGTTTACCGCATTACGTACAAAAATATATTTTCTTACCGTGCAAACTCCAATGTGATTTCAATTCCTCATAATTAACATGTGATTTGTAACAATAAGGACAAAATATTAAATTTCTATGTATTGTACTATTGTGTTCCTGGAATTTTAACCAAGTCTTGAACATTACATTGCAACACTTGCACATACAGGATATATCCTCGAATGTACTCTTTGCATATGTATATCCAAATCCATTTTTGTAATATATTGAAAACGACATATACCACACATGTATCGTCGACCTTCGATCATATGCCGAAAAACTTAGAAATTGGAGATCTTGTTTGCGCAATTCTTTCGAGCTTTTATTTATAAAAGACATATTTAATACAAATTCTCTTGAGAAAAGTAATGATACACTCGTGATGATGGTTTTGTTTCAAACTTTTTGTTAGTTTGTTTTATCACAACATTCTATCAAAGTTTATTTTCGACTATCCTTCCCTTTTCGGTCTTTCACTATCAAGTATTATATGTGATAGATATTAGTTGATAAATTGCAAGAAGAAATTGTACAATGTATATAATTGACGAACTTGACGAATTCCGCGGATTCGACGATCGAAACATATGTGATGCGTATAAATACTTTATGATTTAAAAATTTCTTAAAGTTTAAAAACAAACGACAAATCCTACATGTTTGTGTGAGCGTAAATTATATTACATAATGTACATTATAATAATAATAAAAATAAATTATGTACATAATAATAATAAATTATATTATATAATTTATTATTATTATAATTATATAATGTAGATTATGATGTACATTATAATAATAATAATAATCCAATAATTATTATTTGATAATAAATATATTTAATAATTTGTTGCTAACTAATTATGCGATAATGATCCTCCATGGCGGTCTTCATGGCGAAGCTGTGGTATGTCGCGTATGTCGTAGCGTATGATTCTTCACGCCGTGTCGTGCACGTACTTCAGGTGATAATATAGATTACCGCCTTGGACGAATTGCTTCCCGCATACATGACACGTATATGATATTATACACGTATTTATCATCCGAGTATATGTAGCCCCAGTAGCTCTTTCGTGAACGGAATTTCTTGTTGCAAAGTATGTAGACCGTCATCAGACTGGTGGAAGCAACCTTCTTGAATTTGGACCGTTTGACATTCTTCAGATATTCATTAAACTCGTTTACTCCCGTTGAGTGTTCTTGCCCTTGGGTGTCTTTTATGCAATATCATATTCAATATCTTTAATTGTGGACATTTTTCGACATTTTTCAAAATTCAATTATTTTCACAGTTTAATTTTATATCGACATTTAAGTAATATCACATTTGTTAAATCCATTAATTATTATGTCGCATGCGTTACATTGATTGATATGTCACAAATTAAGGAAAAAATAAACAATTATAAAAAATTAATGAGACAAAAAAAAGTTATCTAAACTTACAATTTTTATAATAACGTTATCTAATTATCAATATTTATTTTAAATATAATTA